GCATGCGTGTGTAAAGAGCGGCGCGTCGCGCATCGCAGCCTCGGCGACCGGCCAGTCGCGCGCGCCGTCGGTCGCGGGCGCCGACTCGCGCGCGTTGGGGCACCGGTTGAAGTAGACGTTCTCGCCCGCGTCCTCCTCCTCCTCGAGGAGCTGGTCGACGTCGAGCGCGTCAGGCGCGTCAGGCGCGTCGGGCGCGTCGCTGCCCGCCGGCGAGCTCGGGCGGTGGAAGTGCGCGCCGTCGTACCACATGCCGCCGCGCGCCGCGCGCGCTGTGCGGCAGGTCGGTCGGCGTGCCCCAGAGTGCGAGCGCGCTGCGCCGCGCCGCCTCGAGGCGCGCGACGACACGCACGTCGAGCGTGTACTGCAGCATGCGCAGGCAGCCCGTCTCGTACTGCTCGAGGAGCATCGTGCCCTCGTGCTCGCTCAGCAGGCGGCGCACGCACACCTCGGCGAGCGTCGGGAGCGTGTGCCGCGCGAGCGGCGCGAGCGCACGCACGACCGGCGCGTCGTCTGCGCCGCGCGCGCGCGTGCGACTCGGTGTGTGCGCGCTGGAGCGTGCGCGGCGTGCGCGGCGCGTGCGCGCCGTGGCGCGCGCGCAGCGACAGCGTGGCGTCCGCAGGCACCGCGAGGAACGGGTTTGGGACATAGGTGAAGGTATCGAGCTCCAGGCGCTGGATCTCGGCGGGGAGGTAGCGCAGTGCATTCCCGCCGACGTTGAGCTCGCGCAGCGCGTGCAGCTCGCCAATCACGGGCGGGAGGTGCGTGAGCGCGTTCTTGCGCAGCGACAGCACGCCGAGGTTACGCAGCTGGAAGAGCGCGCTGGGGAGGCGCGTCAGCCGGTTGTCCCACAAGTAGCACTGGAGCAGGTGCCGCGCGCGCTCGCGCGTCGACGCGGTGCGCGAGTGCGACTCGGCGCGGCGCGGCGCGATCGCGACGTAGCGGTGCAGGTCGCCGATCAGCGGCGGGATCCGTTCGAGCTGGCACCCGCCGAGCAGCAGCGCAGGCGCCTCGCGGCCCTCGTCAAAGATGCGGTTGATCAGCGTCGGCCAGTGCACGCCGTCGCCGGGCACTGCGCGGCGCGTGCGCGCGGCGGGCGCCTCGCGCTGCTCCCATGCAGGCAGCGGCGCGGCATCGGTGCGGCTGCGCGTGAGCTTCTTGGGCGACGTGCCCGACGGCCGCGGGCGCTGCGCGCGGTCCTCGGGCGCGCGCGGGCCGCCGACGCCGCTCAGCGGGTCGGTGCTCGCGGACTCGGTGCGCGCAAACTCGCGCGTGTGTGGCAGGCGCGGCGCGCTCTCGAGCGAGCTGCTGAGCACGTCGTCGGAGCTCGGGAACGCGTCCTCGTCCGACTCGAAGAACTGGCCGAGGACCTCGGCGCCGTCCGCCTCGGGCGCGCCGGGCATGAGCGTCAGCTCCGCGAGGCCCGCGTGCGCGGGGCGCCGCGCGGGTGCGGTCGCGGCGCGCCCGAGCGCGCGCCGCGCAGGCAGCGAGAGCGTCTTGGCGGAGCCCGAGAAGGGGTCTGCGGACGCATGCGAGGCGGCGCGCGCAAACGTCGGGCTCGATGGCGGCGACGATGCGTCGTTCGCCGCGCTCGTGGGCGGCGACGAGGACGTGAAGGGGAGCTCGGGCGGCCCGCGGTACGCGCGCGACATGGGCCCAGCGCGCCGCGTCGAAGAAGTCGGAAGCTACTCCACATGGCTGTGGTCATCGCCGAGCATCAGCTGCAGGAGCCGCGGCGTGACGGAGCCCAAAACTACTAGCACAAGACAGTAGACCGTGTGTCGGTCGACCGGCGTGTCCTGCGACGGCATCTGCACACGCACGCCAGACACCCGCGGCGCCGGCGACATCGTGCGCGCGTGGATCGGGTGGTCCGGGTCGTGTGGGTGGTGCGCGTGCGCCGCCGCGGCGCCCTCGCGCGTGCTCGCCGTGAGCTCGAGGACCGCGTGCATCGCGACATAGAGAAATGTCCCGCCCGAGAAGCTCAGGATCGCGCCGATATCGCGCACGTTGATTTTTGCGCCCGCGCCGCCTGTCGCGCGGAAAAAGAGCTGGATCGCACCGTACGTCGAGAGCGCGCCGACGGGCGTCGCGAGCGAAAACACGAGCATCGCCCACCGGATATCTGTGCGGCTCAGCTGCCGCGACATGAGCAGCGTACATGTGCCGATCGACGCAGGCGCCTTGTGCACCATGATCGCGAGCACGACGACGATGCGCAGCGACGCATCCGGGCTCCCGACCGAGGCCCCGAGCGCAATGCCGTCCGCAAGCGCGTGGACGAGCAGGCCCAGCAGAGTGCTTAGCGCGCCGAGCAGATTCGTGCGCGACGGCAGCCAGCTGCGCTCGTAGTCGCCGTCGATCGCATACCACGGCACATCGTCCGTGTCCCGGTCGCTCGTCGCGACGGCTTCGTGTGTGTGCTCGCCGCGCGCGTGCAGCTTCGCGAGCATGTGCCGGTCGACGCTGGGTCAGGAGCCGACGTACATAAACATGAGCAAAAATCCAGACAGCAGGCATGCGGCAATCAGGTCCTTGGACGTGAGGCGCCCGTGTGCGTCGTTTGCCGGCGCGCCGTCGTGCGCGAGCCGGCTGCCCTTGTACACGCTCGCGATTCCCTCGGGGATCACGACCGTGAGCGCCGCACCGAGCAGCAGGCCAGAGCCCCACAGCTCGAGCATGCGCAGTCCGTTCCGCGAGAGCTGGAAAATGAGCGGCAGCGTCCCGATGGCGTATGTCCCCAGCGCCATCGCGACGCACACGCCCACCAGCCCCACGACGTCCCACATCGGTGCGCGAGGCGGCCGCGGCCGCCGCCGCGCGTCGGCCGAGCGCCGCTCGCACGGAGCCCCCCCCCCCCACCCCCAAGGGTGGCTTGCGCGCATTCCCATGCTAGATCTACAGACGCGCCGAGGGACCGCGCAGGTCTGCATGCGACGCACGGATGCGCGCCTCGGCCTCGGCTTCGATACGTGCAACGAGCTCTTTGCATGTCGGCTGTGTGAGGAAAACAGACGCACAATGTCGTGGATCAGGCCGACGGTCTGCCCCGCGGTCCAGACGCCGGCCTCGGGGTCGCCCTCCGTGTAGACTTTTCGTCCACGCTGGCCGGACACCAGCGGGAGGATCTCCTTGAACTCGGCGCGCCGGCCCTCGAGGCGGAGCACCTCCTTCGTGATCGAGTTGCGGAACACGCGCGTCGTGTTGCGCAGACTCCGCAGGATGTGCTGCGTGTCGCGCTCGTTCGCGCCGACGATCGTCTGTTTGATTTTGTCGTCGATCTCGCTCTCCTGCGTCGCCATAAACCGCGTGCCCATGTTGGCGCCGACCGCGCCGAGGGCCAGCGCCGCCGCCAGCCCGCGCCCGTTCGCGATGCCGCCCGAGGCGATGAACGGCGCATCCAGCTGCTCAGCCGCGAGCGCCAGGAGCACGAGGCCTCCGACATCGTCCTCACCCGGGTGCCCGGCACATTCCCCTGCGTCAGTCTCGCACGTACACCCGTCGATGCTGAGCATGTCGGCGCCGAGGCTCAGCGCCGTCTTTCCGTGGCGGATCGCGGTACACTTGTGGATCACGAATGCGCCCGCGTCCTTCAGGATTTTGATCACCGGCCCGGGGTTGTTGCCGGCCGTCTCAAAGATGCGTACGCCAGCCTCGACGGCCGCGCGCGCATACCCCTCATAGTCCGGCGGAACGACCGCCGGAAGGAGCGTGATGTTGACGCCGAATGCGCCGTACTTGGTGCGCTCCTTGGCGATCGCCGGGTCGATGAGCGAGCGGGTCTTCTCGATCGCGCGCTTGAGCTCCTCCGGCGAGGGCTGCGTGAGCGCGGTGAGGAAGCCGAGCGCGCCTGCATTCGACGCTGCGGCAGCAAGCGCGGGCGTGCCTACCCACTGCATGCCTCCCATGACGAGCGGGGCGCGCAGCCCGAGCTGCTCGGTGAGATAGGTCTGAATCGGCATCGTGTTGGGAGTCCGGGGCCGGGCGCCACGTGGAGGGCGGGTGGCCGTGTGGAACGATCGCAGGCAATACGATGAACATCTTTCGGCTGCTCGGCGACCTGTCGCACATTGCGTCGATCCTGATCCTTATCCACAAGATTGTGACGTCGCGGTCATGCCGAGGTATGTATCTGTGCTGACACAGGCATCTCGTTCAAGACGCAGGCGCTGTATGCGACCGTATTCGTCGCGCGGTACCTCGCGCTGTTCCAGCCGCCGTACCCGTACCTGATCATCATGAAGCTCTTTTTCCTCGGCAGCTCGTTCTATGTGATCTACCTGATGAAGTTCAAGTTCCGGTACGTGCATGCCCTGACACAGCTCGCGCGTGGAGCTCGACATTGACTCGATCCGCGTCGAGTACCTGCTGGGAGGCAGTGCGGTGCTCGCGCTCTTGTTCAACTACAAGTTTACCCCGCTCGAGATTCTGTGGTCGTTCAGTATCTTCCTGGAGTCGGTCGCGATCCTGCCGCAAATGTTCTTGCTCCAGCGTCTCGGCGAGGCGGAGACGATCACGTCGCACTACATCTTTGCGCTCGGCGCGTACCGTGCCCTGTACCTATTTAACTGGGTGTACCGGTGCGTTTTTGCATGCTCACGCAGCCTGATCTTTGAGCCCAAGCACCACTTTGACTACATCACGTTCCTTGCTGGTCTCGTGCAGACCGGGCTGTACGCCGACTTTTTCTACAGTACGTCGCGCGCGGTGGCCTCCCTGACACAGTCTACTATGAAAAGGTCTTGCACGGGAAAAAGTTTGAGCTGCCTGCGTAGGGCTCCGTGCATGAACGAAGCGCAACAGGCATCGTATATATCCATCTGGCCTGGAGTCTACGTAGAAGAAAGCATTCGTTGCGAGCGGAGTGCGAAACGCGACCGGTGCTAGCGTACAGCTGTGCACCTCGCGGCCAGTCGGAGGGGTCAAGTCGGCCGCGCGGTGCACTGGTGTGCTCGAACGAGCCAGGGCCAAGGGCGGCGTGCTAGCGCAGGGAGCAAAAAAATTTCCCAATCCGGGAGTCGAACCCGGGTCTTGTCGGTGCGCTCCACAGTCAGAACTTGTGAGAGCGACATGTACTAGCCGTTGTACTAATTAGGAGGGCGCTTGGAAGGGGCAGTGCACAGTGCAGTTATAAGGATGAGGCACAGCCTAGGAATGAACTATGACAACGGTGGACTATGCGATGGGCGATGCGGGCTCGCCCTCGGCGTCGGCACTTTGCTCGGTCCGCGAAGTGTCCCCCGCGCTGCTTTCGGGCCGCGGCAGTGCGCCCGGCCAGGGAATCGGCAGCTTGCCGAGGAACCGGGGCGGGTTGCCGCAGCGGTCCTTGCCGAAGCTGATCTTCATCGACTGGTAGTCCTTGTGGTACTTGAGGCCCTCGATGCACTTGATGGCCGATTGAATGTTGAGGAAGTTGGCAAAGGCCTGGGTCAGTGGAGTGACGTACGCAGTTGCGCTCTCGGAGCGCATTGACCATTTCGAGCTCGCCGTACTCGGCGAGGTCGGCGCGGATCTTGTCCTCGTTCATCAGCTCGGGGTCGTCGATGTTCCCGAGGTACACGTTGCGCGATGCACCGCTCTGCACAGCGAGCGCCATGGCGGGGCTCAGTGCGCCGGACGGTTTGCCCCAGCCGATCTTGAGGCGGCGGTTGTGGATCGTGACGCCCGAGAGCGAGGCCATGTGGAAGAAGGCGAGCGCGGCGTTCGCGTCGATGAATGTGACGAACGCAATGTGGCGGTCGGGCATGTACCGGATGTTCTGCAGGATGCCGCCGCGGACGTGGTTGCAGATGTCCTCGGCGGTGGTGTCTGGGTGCAGGTTGCCGAGGTACACGGTCCGGTTGCCGAACTGGTGGAACTGAGGCTCGACGTTGTTGAAGGGGTGGTTCGGTGCGCGCCCGTCGTACTCGTCTGCAGACGCGCGGCGCTGCGGGCCGTGCCCGTCAAAGAGGCCGGGGTTGTTGGAGCCGTAGTTCATGTACCCCGTCGGGTACCCGAGCCAGGTGGCCGCGGCGAGGCCCATGGCGGCCGCCTGGTGGTTGTGCGCCTGGATCTGCTGCTGCCCCTTGGGGACATACGCGCAGCGGTCCTTGCCGTAGTTGACGCGCTTCCCGCTCCACTTGGGCTCGGTGGGGAGCACCGCCACGACCTTCATCGCGGTCTGGATGGAGAGGAAGTGCACAAAGGCGATGGCTTGGTCGCGCACAATCTTCACCTGGTCGATCGGGCCGAAGCGCGAGAGGTCCTCGCGCAGGCTCTGCTCCGTGGTGTCCTCGTCGAGCTGGCCGATGTACACGTTGCGCGACGCCTGGTGCTGCTGCACGGCCATCACCACCGCCGGCGGCGGCACGGACGGCTTGCCCCACCCGATTTTGAGTTCCTGGCCGTGCAGCGAGATGTGGCGCACGCTCGAGTCGGCGTGGAACGCGGCGGCGACCTGTGCGTTCAAAAACGAGATGAACGCGCAGTTCTTCTCCGGCAGCAGCCGCACGCTCTCGATCGGCCCAAACTTGACGAGGCTGAGCAGCTCGTCGACGGTCGCCTCCGCGGGCAGGTTCCCGACGTACACCGTGCGTCCGATCGGCACCATCGGCGGCACCGGCATGCGCGGCGGCAGGCCGCCGTAGTCGGGCAGGCCCTGGGGGTGCGGCGTGTTGAAGGGCTGCACGAAGCCCACGGGTATTCCGCCTGGGAGCGGCATCATGTACGGCATCGACGCGCCCCAGCCCGGGACCATGGGGGGCGACACGGGAATCGCGCCCGGGGTGGCCTGCACCGGCATCATGGACGCAAACCCGGCAGCGGCGTACGGTGCGTGCTGTGCGCCGGGTGAGGGCGCGCTGGCGCCTGGGCCGCCCTCCGGCTCCTCAGGGCGGAGGTGAAGGGTATGGAGCGACTCGGAGAGCGCCGCCCCGCCGTCGTGCGGCGCTGGCGGCTGTCGGGTATCTGCGGGGCTTCGGTGCGCGGGTGCGCCGCTCGGCGAGCTCGGCTCGTGGGGCGCACGCGTCGCACTTTGGTCCCCCGACATGCAGCAGTAGTTGTACGTATGCGGACGGAGCTGTCTTTCGGTGATTTCTCTCGGTCCACGGGCGACACTCCTCTGGCGACCGGCTAGCGAGCGTGGCCGAGGACGTGCCTTTAGGCAGAGGGCTCGGCGCCGCGAGCCCGGCGTGTTCTTTTGCACGTGACAAGGTGCAGAGCACCCTCCATTTGGCGCTGCTCGGGCTGCTACGAGAAAGCAACATATATACAACGGCTTCGAACGGGCTTACTTCTTGACCGTGTCCGTAAGCTTCGAAACCGGGTTGTCCGTCTTGTCGATCAGGTTCTTGACCTTCTCGTAGATCGTGAACACGACGGCCTGGCCGGGCGCAACACGCGCAACACGCGGCGTAATGCCCTTCCAGAAGGCACTGACACCCTCCTGCGCAAACATGTCGCGAGCGACTGCGGTAAGCAAACAGTGTGTACATACCCTTGAGGACGCGGCCAAGCGCGGTCTCGCCAGGGACCTTGGCGGCCTTTTGGATGCGGGTCTTGATCGTGTCGATCGGCGCGTTGGAGAAGGGACCGAGGGCACCCGAGATGAGACCGATCGTCGCGGTCTCGTACGAGGGCAGCTCGTCGACCTTCTGCAGGCGCAGCGCAAGAGCCTTGATCTCCTGGTACGCCGTGAAGTTCGCCGCCTGGTTCGTCGCCTGACGCGCAGCGGTCAGAGCGACACCGCGGTAGAGCGTGCTGAAGCCCTCCTCGCGGATGATCGTGTACAGGGCGTGCGCCGCGTTGCGGTAGCGCGGCTTCTCGTTCGGGTCCGCGAGCGAGTGCTGCTGCGCCTGCAGACGGATCTTGACGACCTCCATGGGGTTCACGACGGCGACCGCCTCGGTGGTACCGGCCAGGAGACCAGCTGCCGGTCAGCCAACACACAAACGACGTACCAAGGAAGACGCCCTGCGGCGAGGTGACACCCGTCTCGCGGTTCGCGAGCCAGGCCTTGTACTGCTCGAAACTCATGAAACGGATGGCCATCTTGGGCACGATACCGGCGACCACGGCACCGAGACCCTTGTACAGGCCGAGCGGGCTCTCGCGGCGGACGATGTGCACACCCGTGGCGAAGAAGCCGCGCGGCTTCTCACCCTGGGCGCGGCCGCGGCGCGAGAGCTGCATGCGCACCTTGATCGTGTCGAGCGCTGCGGTTAGCACGGCGTGGGGCGCGCGGGAGACGTACGGTGGCAGGTGCAGGCCTCAGCGAAGCCGGCGACACCACCGGCGATGAGCTGTGTAGCGGCAGACGTCTTGGGCTTGTTGTTCGGCGCCATTATGGAAGCGGAGGAAGAACGATACGATCCGGGGGAAGAATGCCGGGCGTTATGTACTTTCGTTCGCAGCGTCTAAGCTTACTCCGCATAGTGCAGTTGCCTGCGCGCGGCGTGGCTCGCCCCTGGGACGACTCTTGGCTCGGCCAATCGATCGGAATCGTTGCTTCGGCTGATGCATGATGACTTAATATCCTACCGGTAAAAGGCCGGGCGACCGGTGGCCGGGGACCCGGTTTCGTCCGAGAGTGGAGCGAGGATTCGCAGCGCACGGACACTATGAACATTAGGGCTGCAGCGCAGCCTCGTCGGCGTCGTTGAGCAGCTCGTTGAGCGCCTTGAGGCCCTTGGCCACCCCGTAGCTTGCACTTGCCATAACACTCTTCGTCGTCCGGTCGAAACTGGTGTCGGTCTGCATGTCGCTCAACCGGTCGCAGTTCTCCGTGAGCTCGGCAAAGATGCGCTCCGCCTCCGCCGCGATCGGCGCGTGCCGCGGCGAGGTCGACTGGGGCAGGTGGTCGCGCGAGATCGCCACGATCGAGAACACAATCGTCGTGATCTGCGTCAGGTTCTCCTGGAGCTGCGGGCCCTGCACACCCTCACGCAGCGCCGAGAGCAGCGACTGGATCGAGTGCACAATCGCCTCCGTCTGCACCTCGATGTAGTTGCGCAGCTCCGCCCAGTTCTCGTTGTCGTCGACCTCCTCGACGACCGGCAGCTCGTGCGCATCCGCAGGCGCGCCAGGCGCCGTCGGCGGCGCACTCGCGGCGCCCAGCGGGCCTCCGGCCGCAGCGCCCGCCGCAGCGCCCGCCGCAGCGCCGCCGCCCGCCGCGCCGGCCGGCACCGCGCCGGGCGGCAGACTCGGCAGCGTGCGCTCGCTCAGTGGCGGCCGCGCAGGCGGCATCGCGGACGTGGGGCCCGCACTGGGGCCAGCACTGGGGCTTGCGCCGGGGCCCATTGCAGGGCTTGCGCCGGGGCCCATCGCAGGGCTTGCGCCAGAGCTCATCGCAGGGCTCGCGCCGGGGCCCACGCCGAGGCCCGCGCCGTGGCCCGCGCCAGAGCTCATCGCAGGGCTCGCGCCAGCGCTCCATCGCGGGGCTGGCTCCGGGGCCCGTACCGGCGCCCATCGCAGGGCTCGCGCCGGGGCCCGCACCGGAGCCCATCGCGGGGCTTGCGCCGGGCGCGCCGGCGGGGCCCAGGCCGAGACCCGCATTGGGACCGCCGCGAGGACTTGCGCCGCTGCCCGGCGCGTCGTGCGGGCTGCGGGGCGGGAGCTCGGGCGCATGGCGCTCCGACGGCGCGTCGGACCGCGCGGCGTCCGAGCCGCGGTCCACCGCGGGGCTCGGCGCCTGCTGCGGCTCCGGCTGCTCCGTGCCGGGGAAGGTCTCGATGACGGTCGCCGACTCCTGCTCGATGACGTCCTCCGGGGGATGCGCATACTCCGTGTGCCGCTCCTCCGGGAGCGGCGAGCCGGTGAGGTTGCGCGGCTCGGTGGGGTGTGCGCCCGTGGCGCCGCTCGCGCCCGCGGTGCCGAGCGCGCCGAACGCCGCCGAGGCGCCCATCGCGTTCAGCGCACGCTGCCCGATCGACGGGCGCGCGTGCTCCTGCGCGTCGGTGCGCGGCTGCGGCGGGAGCTTGGAGTCGGGCGCCTCTTGCGCCGCGGAGCCTGCCGCGGAGCTAGGGGCGAGCGACGCGTCGTGCTCGCGCGGCGACGCCGACGATGCATCGGGCATCGGCGCCGAGCCGCCGTGCGGCGCAGGCGGCCCCTCGAGCGCGGCG